CTCAGCCATTTTGACGTGTTATTGTGTTAATTTCGTTCTTTTCAAACAAGATTTCAAACAACATGGTAAGACTTTAGTGAGCTCAAATTTCATATTTTTTAATACCCAAATACAGCTTAGTTACTAAGCTTGATAAATTATAGTGGATTTTTATGGTATTGATATAGTAATTTATGATTTTTGGTTATTCAAAATGTATACATAAAACCTAAAAAAATTTTCTTTTCACATCCTCCTTGTGGGAAATTTCATAAGGTTTAGCAACCTATGACAAGCAGCAAATGAGTACAAAGGTCGTAACTAACAAGATAATTGTTTGCTTTACTTCTTTATTTACTGTTCTATGTTTAAGAACTTATTTGTAAATAGTAATAATGTATATACATATACAATGTATAATAATTGAAATGTGACTGTATTTTACAAAATACTAGTCCGTTAAAACACAGCTAAGACAGCTAACTTTGTAAAAACTAAAGGTCAGTTATATATTATTGGATACAGTAACATGAGTGCACGTGTGCCGCATCATTGTAGCTTCTGTATTATTAGCCAGGTATGGCTGGAAGGTCAATATAATAAAAATAGTAAATATATATAAGTGTATAATGTTATGAGATTTAAACTATTTAGACTAAACATTTGTGTTTTCATCTTATAATTTGTAAAAAAAGCTTGATTTATATATTTTTTCCTAATTTTTTATTGAGGTTACATACAGAAATACAGAAGTGAATATAACAAATAAAATATAAAGTTTTTTCTAAAAAATTTGATAATTATCCAGAGATTATAAAGAATTCACATGTGAAAATGTTCTTATGCATTAAAGTATTTTTAATCTTAAAATCAAAATTGCTTTGCATGTTGGATAGTCAACATTCTGAAAGGAAAAAGGTTTACGAGAAAATCTTGAATTAAAGAATCTTAATACTTAATTTAAAAACTTGATATTTTGTTTATGAAAATATTGTAATGTTTACCAATAACCTGCAAAATTTTGTAAAGATGTGCATATATTATCAATAATCATAGTATAATAACTCTCATGGATACTTTCGTGGTTACAAGCTGAGTGGATTCCACCCAGTGTGTAATGGAAGGGCTAACAGATTCAATTAGTCACACAGTTCTATCATAAACCGTAGCATAGTGCTAGTATCCTTAGTCACACAGTGTTGCTATGTAGCAATATGCACTTATTTGAACTGATTTTTATTATTCTATAAACATGAAATATCTTCAAAAAATTTTTTAATTTGGCAAAGGATTTACTGATCATCTTATTTTCTCACAAAAGTGACTGAATATCAGATATAAAGAAACACATGAGATATTAGAACTTTACAGAAGAATGCAGTTATTGACCATTTTTGTGCCTTTTGGCTATAAAGGGTTAAAAAGTAATCCACTTTAATGAACACTGAAGAAACTTATTAGAGTGAATGACCTCATATATAAGGACTTTGCTATATTCAAAAACTTAGGATTTTGATCTTCAATAAAGAAGTGATATTAAATTCACATAAGTGTTATTTTTGTTTACAAAAGTGAGACATACCGATTCAAAATAAGTCCTCAAATTCATTTCTGATGATACTTAAAAGATGCAATCTATTACAGTTCTTGTGATCTTAGTTAATTATATCATTTCACTTTGATTTGGAACAGCAATTAAATATGATTGATTTGAATAGGTTATATAGTTCTCCAGTAAAAAAGAAAAAATTATAAATATGCCTTCTAACTAATTTCTATCTGATTTTTAAGTTATTACACATGAAGATGAATCTTATCATGTTTCTATTTATATTGGTAATTTACTATGTTAGGAATTAACAAAATAGAGAACTAGTTTAGTTTTCTTACAATAATTAAAAATAAATCATTTACTTTATCTTTTTGTACAAAGCCATAAACCTTTGGCACTTATTTTACAAAGCAGACTAGCTGAACCCATTTAAACTGAAACGAGGGAAAACATTTTTACAATTCACAACATTTTTCAAAATTACTTCAAAAGAACTTTTTTTTTTAAATGAAAACATTATAAGCATTCTTACAGTGCCTTGAAAAATTATTCACCCCTGCAAACTTTCCACATTTTGTTGCTGTCTGAGCTTGCAATCATGAAACTTTCAAATGGGACTTTATATATAGAATCTATACAATCTACTCCAAACTGAGAAGGCTAAAAAACACTGATATTATGCAAGTTAGATTTTCAAAGAAAATTAGAAAATGTTCTCAATTGAATAAGAATTCAACCATTTTGCTAAGGGAACCCTAAATCAGTTCAGGTGCAAAAGATTAGCTTGAAAGGTCACAAAATTAGTGTAATTGTCTCTGTCTGTGTGTAATCAAAGTGGTTTAACTTGATATAAGAGTAAATGTATCTGTTCAAGCCACTACCCACTTTGTAATATGACAAACCAACCATGGAGCCTTCCAAACAAGTCAGGAATAAAGTGGTAGAGAAGCACAGATCAGGAGAAGGTTACAAGAAAATTTCAAAGTTGCTGATTATCCCTTCGAGTACAGTGAAGTCCATCATTAAGAAGTGGAATGTGCCAATCAGTCATTACCCAAATCAGGCCGGCCTTCCAAACTAAGCAGCCAGGCAAGTAGCCCACAGGTTAGGAATGCCACTGTGAAGCCAACAATGACAATCTGAGATGTGAGTCATTGTTTATACACTGACAATATCCAAGTCCCTACACAAAGTTGGCCTGTATGGGTGAGTGGCAAGGAAGAAGCCATTGCTGAAAAAGAATCATTTTAAATCTTGTATGGAGTTTGAGACAAAGCATGTAAATGATACTGCAGACATGTGACGGAAGGTTTTGTCATCATCAGACAAGACAAAAATTGAGCTTTTTGGTCTATATTCAAAGTGTTACATCTGGCACAAACCCAACACAGCACATCACCCATTCAACACCATCCCAACTGTCAAGTATGGAGGTGGCAGCATCATGTTATGAGGATGCTTCTCATCATTAGGGACTGGAAAGCTTGTCAGAATTGAGGGAAAGATGGATGGTGCAAAGAACAGGCACATCCTAGAGGAAAACCTGCTTAAGTCAGCTAAGAAACTAAAACTGGGTCAAAAATTCACATTTCAGAAGGACAATGACCCAAAGCACAAGGTCAAAGCCACACTAGAGTGGTTTGAAAAGAAGAAAGTGAATGTCCTGGAGTGGCCTAAAGTCCTGACTTTATTCGAATGGAAAATTTATGGTGAAACTTGAAGATTGCAGTCCATTAATGATCCCCAACAAACTTGTCAGAATTGGAACAATTTTGCCAGGAAGAATGGGCAAAAACTACACCATCCCATTGTGCAATGACTCACAGCAGTAATTGCTACCAAAGGTGCTTCCACCAAGTACTGACTTAGAGGGCTGAATACTTATGCAATAAGCAAATTTCAATTTATATATTTTTTGCAGGTTTTGCTGACATTCAACCTCCTTCACACATAACAGTGTAAAGTTTGATCATTAAAGTTCTGAATAAAAACAAGTTCATTAAAAAAAACTGTTTACATCATTTGTATTTCATCAAAATGTGACATTATTGGTAGGGGTGAATACTTTTGCAAGGCACTGTAAAAGTTATATTATCCTTGAAATAATATTAAAAACAACTTAAAAAATATATCAGTATCATTGTTTTCATTATCATTACATTAAGTTTATCTATATAAACATTCCTTGAAAATACATTATCACTTGTACCTTAGAAACGCAGAAAAAAATGTAAAATATCTAACCTGATTATGTACAGTATCATACTGCAAATGTTTACCTAACTAAAAATTTTTTTACTATTTTATGTTGTATAAGGTATATCAGATTTTTGAACAGTAAAATAAAGTCAGGAACACCATTCATTTCTAAAACTACTAAGTTATCAATAATGTTAACATATGCTTTGCACTTAGTCTATATACCTAGTTTTATAATGAAATCTTGGAAACAGCAAAAAGACTAGATTCTAATTCTTGTTCTATTCTGCAATTTTTTACTTCATAGTGTAGTGCATGTTTGATTGAGAATAATTTTTAAATGTAGGAAAGAAAAACCTATATCAGATTTGTCTTTTTTCAATGTTCGTTATATATTTAACCAAACTTTTAACTATATAATCTATTACTTGCACCCAAGGGTTCATTACACAGCTGATAATGTACAAGTATATGAATTGGTTAATTACATCTAAAGCATTTGGATTTGTCCATTCTACTCTAATCAACAGTTTCCTAATTTCATTTGTAATTTTTTCTTCATTATTTGCACCAATAAAATTTGAAGTACTTTTTCAAAATGTATACAAAACTCAAGATTTATAATAACAGCAGAAAAAAAAATTCCAGTACATCTACTTAATTTTGTTTGACATTTGAATATTTGTGGATTTTTCTTTTTTTCAATGGAAGTTAACAATTCCATGCTTTTTAATTCTTAATTAAAGTTGAATTTACTAGGGTAGTATATTTAAATTGTCAATATTAAATCATCAAAAGATGAAGCTGAGTTCTTTTGAAATTAAAATAACAATGAAGATAAAGAATAAATTTAGAATAAATATAATTACAATCAGTCTTATTTTTTAAGATTTAAAAACTTTTGCTAAATAAATATAGACAAAATTTGAATACCTTTAAAAATGTCAATATGAGCAGTGCACAAAAATACTTCTTATGACAATCAATTCCTAGTCAAGATGACATAATGTAACATCATAACAGAATTGCTATTTCAAAATCTTAAACTAAATTATGGTTGTTTTTTTTGTAGTTATTAAAGACACCAGAGAAAAATTGTTCTTTACCAAAAAATATATACTGGCTAACTTACACATCTTGAAATTCTTCTAAAGATTTTTGTGGTGTGAATGCATTTAGAAGACCTATAATCTGAAATGAAAATAACATTTGAATTAGCACTTACAATAAGATATCTCATGCCTGATTAACTTCTTTATCAAACTTCTCTTCAAAATATTAGTCTGAGAATACAAAGGATTAACCCCATGTGTTCAGTAGGGATCAACATGCACATTATGGTATTCTAACAACTTACATTCATAATTTAATTAAACAATTTTATTATCAATTTATATCAATACACTTGGCATCAAAATGTAGTTTATAATTCAAATTTTAATACTATAAAAGTTTAATGTTTTAATTTCAAAATTAACCAAACTATATTTAAGAAAATTGTCAATCTTTGCTTCTTTGTATCACATGACACTTATTTGTTCCAAATTACCCATTTTAGATTTTCTTTCAAACCCCAATATAATATTCTGAATACTCCACCAACTACACTTATACTATAATTATTGCTAAGCAATAATGTAAAGTTATAGCCTCTAAGCTTTTTGTTCACTGACATATAAACAAGAAAGTCAAACCCACATGCCATACCCCTGCTATCTCATTG